CCGACACTGCCGACTGAACTCGCAATCACATTCACTGCCCCGTGTGATGTATATTCGACGCACTTTAGAACGAGGGCAGGTTAATAATCAATAAGGGCCAGCAGACCGACAACCGAGAACAATGGATGCACGGAAATGAGCTAGGAAAACATTGCCTGCGAAATCGCTCAGCTGTGCGAAAACACAAGCCACTGAGGACACCTCCGATGGAATCGAAAGGAAGCTCATGCACCGCCTAGCTATCATGCTGTTCCTTTCGTGCACGATACTGTTTACCCTATCCACCACGCAGGTGAACAGAGTTAGTAACGATGACCTCTCCGACAAATACCCCTCAGATGCTTGTTCTCGTTCTCAACCCTGTTTGTGGTGTGGCATCCAAAAACGACAGCATCCATTAGTCGGTGAGCCGCCCTAGAGTCTGCGTGTGGAAGCCATGTGGCTCACAAATGCCGGTAGCATTCTGGATTGCCACGCCGCACCGCGTTCAATATTCTTTCAAACACTGACGCATCGCGTGTACATATCAGTTTATGAAGCCACTCGCGCAACTACATTCGACGACCAACAGTGATACAACTTATGCGACCGCAGGGCCTAGCCATGTCCGCTTTCACATGGTACCAGCAAAACACAACTTTCGCATTGGGATAATGACGTCGAAACGCCCGCAACTGAGCAGCACATTTATCCATCACCACAGTGCGGCAACGTACGCTGCTAGGCACTATCTCCCGCATCGCGTCCACCGCTGGCCCATAGCTGTAGGACGTTTCATCAGGTAATAGGGGTAGAAAAAGGAAATCCCCAGACCTGTGACGTCCACGAACATGCAATGCCACAATATGTATCCATCATAATTGAGTTGGTGCGTCCCCTCGCACAACAGAACCTCTCCATAACGCTTCACAATGTCACGAACTACTGAAGGAGAGAAGAACACATAACGAATCTGAGTACCCTCAGACACCAATCGGCAAACACCGTGCCCTTCCAACGTGTTTGCCACCTCCGACACATCACATGAAGTTGCATTTCGATGACGAATACGCAAGTTGCTCAGGTCCACACGGGTTACACGTTTGCCGTACTCATGATAGATGAAGCGCCGCAAGTCAGGCGTGCTATGAAACCTGTCCATCAAACGCAGAACCTCCTTCTCCTGCCGAGGAGACAGCCGACGGTTGCGTGCATACAGCCAGGGGTTACCCAAGTGGAAATAATGACTATGGATCATGAAGTAACCTCGCACCGCATATTTTCCATCCTTCAATACCACGGAAAATCGCGCCCCATATTTGTAGGATTGGTATCTACAGGCGTTAGCCTCCATGTGGAACAAATATCAACTTACCGCTTGCCACGCGATCCCGAACGTTCACAATGTACTCAACGATACAGAATGTAACCGTAGCCGTTCCCGTCCAGCAAATGCTTCCGCCTTCCACGCTGATATGTCGCAGCAGAGATAGAGGTGACTCGGGAAAAGCAAGTCGCCGTTTCAATCTGAAAACGTCCCACTTGCTCCTCCATGTCTTCTACACTTTCATTCCTTCCAATATGCAAAGACCTGTACGGCTCACTATCATTCACAAGCACAGCGATAGCGGAAAAAACAAGTATGGCCACCGAAATAATAAAACATACAGCATGCATTTGCCCCATCAACGGTTACCATTTCTAGGGCATCATAATTAACACACAATACATTTCTCCACACACCATCCAGCTATTTCCAGGAATTGCACATTCATCCTCCTTGGCAACTTCACTATGTAACCTCGTTGCTATGTACCATTTGTACCACGGAGCATCCCGAAGCCACACAATTTTTTGTTACGGTAATCAAACGGTCCCGTGTCTCGCGGGAAGGGCTAATTTTTGTCATGGCGGGAAAGGGTTTCGCTACCGTTGTCCTCGGTAACATTCAAGTTTGTTTGATGGCTGCAGAGTATATTCTTAATTTTGGTGGTATTAAGGTGCAGGGAAATAGAAAATAATACTATATGGATTTGCTTCGCGAAAACGGTTATGATAGATTGCAGTGATGACTACAGACGTAGTTGAAGTTCACGGCATGATGGAAAGCAGGCAAATGCTAAATAAAAGTGTAGTGTAAACGGCTGTTTTCTGGAGCAAATAAGTGTTAATACAATTGTTTCATGTATGTAAAGTTTATGCTTGCAGTTTCTTGCTTGGACAACGGGTATACATATCTCTTGTCTGATTATTGTATTTTTTGTATTTTTTACAATCGCGATGAATGAAAGCGAAATTTACAACTAATATATCTTATCAACTACCATTTTTGTACATAAGCACAAAGCGACCTATACACATCTCTTTCAAATCCAGTTATGAAAGCATCACCATTTAGCCTGGTGTACGGGTACTTACGGGAAACCTACTGTTTCAAGGTCACGGCATGCTTGTCGTGTTTCACTGCTCGGGATGTTCTTTATGGAAGTACTTGTTTGATAACAGTAGTTGAATATCCCTACACAGTTTTCCTGTACTCTGAAAGTATTTGGAAGTGTCAACATACTCGGAATATATTGTGTGCCTTCCTTTGTCCCGGCGTGGTTGTCGTGACCCTGGTAGCACAAAGGTAACACTAAATGTAGCAAACTGGGCATAAACTAGACAGATGTCCAGTTCAGGTATTATGGCATTACTTGCAACATAATGCATTTAGTTTGACATTTGTTAATAAAATAATAGTTGGTATGCATTATATTTGATATCATTTGACCATAACCCCAGTGGTTTAAATGCATCGGCAGGTCGTTTTATTTGGCCAGTTTCGGTTTTGTAACCTTGGTCGCTGGTGCCGCTTGGTTGCGTGCTATTGTGTAGCTCCCTTGAAACTGCGTTTCCGCAGGCGCACCTATCAGGTTTTCCTGTTATATATTGTTTAATACATATGTGTTCATTTTCAGCATGTCACGTCGACAAAGATATCAATTAACTGCACAGTTTCCGTCTCGTAGCACCATTTACCATGCAGCAAAAACAATAACATCAAGATTCACCTACAAAGAAGTGCTTCTGTTGTCAGCAGCTAAACGAAAGAAGGGTAAGCGGATCTATAATATATATTAAATATCATTGCTTACACCTTTCAGCCATATACTAACGTTACCAACTGCTGTGAAGATGACAGGGACCCCGATGAAGTGGTCCATAACTTGAGAAAATTGATTGCGAAATCTCAGGTACCGGCATCATTTGTTCGTCCACTGTTGGGGCTTGTGCAACTGTGGATGCCATTTTTTCCAAAGGATTACCGGACGCTGATGCGCACCCCACGAAACTCGCGCATACGCGTTGTTGCACCGGGCACTTACAGTCACGTAGGTCTGCTGAGAGGTTTAAGCGTGTATGCTCTGCTGTTTCGCTAGCTGCTGATGACACTGTTGACTATCAGTTGCATATTGACCCATTTAAACCTTTTAATGCATCCATGATGCATATATGGCCTAGCTTGTGTCGTGTCATAAAGCCAGTTGTCACAAAGCCATTCATCGTTGGTGTTTATGGTGGGACCTCAAAACCGAATGACGTGGACGATTATTTGTACGACACGATTGATGATATCCGTTCTTTGCAAAGGGAAGGGTTATTCCACCCGAAAGCCGTTATCTGTGATACCTCTGCACGCGCTTATGTGAAATGAAAGAAAGAACACTCGGGTTATTACAGCTGTGACAAATGCACTCAAAGTGGTGAGTATACGAGCAGGATGGTGACATCCACTTACAGATAGCACACTGCGGACGAATGCACCCGTTCGAAGGAATGTCAGCCAACCGTCGCCTTTTGCTGCTTTGAATGTACATTTGGTTGATGACTTTCCAGTTGACTATATGCATTCGGTATGTTTGGGTGTAACAAGCAGATTGATAAAAAACTGGATCACTTCGCCCGTGGACAGTGGATTTCGACTGCGCAGGGAGCGCTTGATTTTAACAAACGAACGGTTGCAAGACTTCGGACCTTCCTGGACATCGGACTTTCCACGTAAGCTTCGATCCCTGGATGAATACCGATCCTGGAAGGCAACTGAGTTGCGTCAGTTTTTGCTCTACGCCGGACTAGCGCGTTTAATCTGGGTATTGCCTGAGGCCTTCTATCATAACCTTCTCGATCTCTCATTCGTTATTTAGATTATGTGCCACCCTCACCTTCACACTGCATTATTTTAGCTTCTTATTCCTTTAATTCAGGTATTTTTACATGATTACTTTGATTTTTATGGTTCCAGTAAGATGACGTGGAACGTGCACTTACTGGTTCATCTGCCCGCTGACTTACAGAAGATAGGGACATTAGATAGCTTCTCAGCATTTCCCTTTGAGTCTCACTTGTTTTCCATCAAGCGCATGATTCACAATTCCCCGCGTCCGGTTGCTCAAATCATGCTGCGTACGTCGGCAGAGGGGCAGCTTCCTCCTACTTTCAGCAGCACAAGCACTGGTGGCAATGTAGAGATGTGCACATATAAGGGTCAAAAAGCGTTTCGTTTGCAAGGCACTTTGTTTTCCACAGTGAAGCCAGATAACGTAGTCATCATCGATGGCAAACCGAGAGTGCTAACAGATGTGTCTGTGAATGTGTCTGGGAAAATGGTTGTGCAATGCCGGGAATTTATGAATCTCCGTAGTCTGTTCACGCATGGCATGGATTCCTCAACGGCGTACATCTTCCGTGCATCGCAATTGTTAACAGAGGTATGTAGCTTCTCAGCCTGTCATATTCTATGCAAGCGTATCGCTTTTCCATTGAGCGATTGCTTTGTAATTTACCCTATGCCGCACACTTATACACTCTAACTATTAACGTCATTCTTTTTCAGCGCCGATGGCTTTTCAAGGATACAGCGTTGTCAAACTCCTTGACTCCGAGGAGTTGATAACTATTGTCAGTAATACATGGCTTAGAGAAGAAGGTGCGTAGGCCCAAATACCTTCCGTGCGGGGTACGCAATAATTTGCAGCGGTAAAAACCACACTGCGCCCGATGTCGATGTGGCCAGCACTGCAGTGTCCATCATCGTTAGCACGAGTAAGTCTTTGTTACAATAACCCACCTCGTCAGTTAGCTTTCAGCATGCCCGGGAAATGGAACGGCAACCAGAGCCCGGCAAGCTGCCATCCACAGACGATACAATTCCGATGGGCCTTCCAGCTAACCGTGCAATGTGCGTATGGTGCCTTTTTATTTCCCCTTAGACGCCGGCCCGTCCGTTCTAGCTCCGATGACGAAGATGCCGCGCGTCTCACCAAACCCAAAAGGCCTGCTGCAGCAGCATACGCACGTGCGCCCACTTCTCTCTTCAGTGGTATTAGTCCCCTACGTCCAGGGCCATCAACAGGCAACCGTAAGTATCGCGTTCATAGGCCCCTATTAAACAGTAATCGTGTAGTGGACTCGGACCCAAAGAGAACTAAAGATGAATACATGATGATCAGAAATAACAAGACTCACAGAAGGGTTCCGACGCGGGTTAGAAGTCCAACCACATAAAACTTTCTAGTCCTCTTGCATCAGCAACTCCGATGGACGACAAACGGCGATGGTGAAACCAGTTGAGACGGAACGAGATCTGTAGATGAATATTGCTCTAAGTTAGAACGTAGTGACCGACAATGCCATAAACTCCGTAGCACAAGAACACAGGGAGAACACGTCGAGTTGCCCGCGCGGTTCAAGAAGTGTGTTATTTATAAATCAAAACAAGTATACAAGGTTAATGTACAGGAATTGGTTGTAATAGGAAAGGAATGTACAATGAAAGATAAGTAAATTTACAGGCGCTACAGAACTCCACCCTAGAGCTTTGGAAAGAGAGAAAACGCTCGATAGTATTATTGTGTG